GCCCTACTAACATACCTTTTTATACCCATCCTTATGAGTAACATGAAACTATATAATGGCCCTACCAACATACCCTTTTATACCAATCCTTATGAGTAACATGAAACTATATAATGGCCCTACTAACATACCTTTTTATACCAATCCTTATGAGTAACATGAAACTATATAATGGCCCTACAACATACCCTTTTATACCAATCCTTATGAGTAACATGAAACTATATAATGACCCTACTAACATACCTTTTTATACCCATCCTTATGAGTAACATGAAACTATATAATGGCCCTACTAACATACCTTTTTATACCAATCCTTATGAGTAACATGAAACTATATAATGACCCTACTAACATACCTTTTTATACCCATCCTTATGAGTAACATGAAACTATATAATGGCTCTACTAACATACCCTTTTATACCCATCCTTACGAGTAACATGAAACTATATAATGACCCTAGTTGGTCTTCCTATAATAAGCACAGGTGTTACATCACACAGGAGAAATAAAATAATTTATCGTTTTATTGTGTGACCTTTCGCTGTAACAATGAAGATTGCACTTTACATGTGTGTTTCTGGTATGTAGATGAGATAATTCAGATTAGTCAAATAATCCGTTTTTAATTTACGATTTAAAAGAAAAAATTAACAGCAGATGAAAACTCACATCCTTCGATTGTTTTGTTGTGAATAACTCGGAGAATCCAAATTATTACCTGACTCTGAAGGAACAGCTGTGCTTGAACACTGGCCGGTAGGTGGCTGTACTGTAACAAAAGAAACTGTCCCAAACTCTGTAGACTTTGTTGTTGTAGCTGCAGTTGTGAAAGTTCTTGAGGACTTGACTGATCGCTAGAGAAGTTAAAACCTAGAGGAAACTAAAGGATAAAATAAATAATATTTCATTTAACAATTAACCGTGCACAAGTTATGAGAGGCTACTACTGGAATGTTACTATTTATATTAAATAGAAACAAATAAGTGTAATTTTGAAAATTATGTCATTTTCAATGGGGTGACACAGATACTTGTAAAAATTGGTATGAGTAAGGGGTTTTCTTCCTCATAATTAATAATTGGAATAGTTGGTGACACATGCAACATTGAATTCCGGTATACAACACTTTAACGTTTTTATCTGAATTAGGGCAATAAATCAAAATTCTTCTTGCCTTTATCCTGTACAAACGTAAAAACAAAAAATAAACTCATTCCAGGAGCAACTAGACGGTATAGTCACTAAATACAACACCTTTGAGTGAATAATTTGTTTATTCGATATACTGTATGTATTTCTTTCCTTTACTGTCTGTGTTCTATTTAGTCTCTGTATACCATTTCCAGAATCTGCACTTTAAAACTTCTGCTGGATACCAATTTTTGGTTAATTTTCAGATGATTTTTATCTTATGGAATGTTGGAAACACATTAAATTAAAAAGTAATTTTGTAATATTTTATAATTTCTAACTAGAGAATATTCTGAGGCTAGATAAAATGGGTTTTTATAAGCTATAAGAACAAAAAAATGTTGATTTTAACATTAAAATCGGATATTGATAAAAAATGAGTTTTCACATCACCCACAGGATGCAAACGATTACAACATAAGCAACAAGTGTAAATAAATGTACTTATTTTTTAGTTCATTCTTCTGTAACAGTACATCATAACTCAAATGAATGTGCTTATTTTTTAGTTCATTCTTCTGTAACAGTACACCATAACCCAAATGAATGTACTTCTTTTGTTTAGTTCATTCTTCTGTAACAGTACATCATAACCCAGATAAATGTACTTATTTTTTAGTTCATTCTTCTGTAACAGTACATCATAACTCAAATGAATGTGCTTATTTTTTAGTTCATTCTTCTGTAACAGTACATCATAACTCAAATGAATGTGCTTATTCTTTAGTTCATTCTTCTGTAACAGTACATCATATCCCAAATGCAAAAGAAGTACATTCATTTGGGTTATGATGTACTGTTACAGAAGAATGAACTAAACAAAAGAAGTACATTTTTAGTTCATTCTTCTGTAACAGTACATCATAACCCAAATGAATGTACTTCTTTTGTTTAGTTCATTCTTCTGTAACAGTACATATGATATACTGTTATAGAATAATGAACTAAACAAAAGAAGTACATTCATTTGGGATATGATTAACGTATTCTGAAACAAACATACCTGTGGAACAAGTACAAAACACAATGTTACACAGAACAATGAGTAATTTGAGAGTAAATATTGTTGTCCACTGTTTCAGTCGAAGTTTATAGGGTAACAATGAGAATTAAACTCATTAACAGTTTGTAAGCATGACAATAATATCATTTTTGTTTTCAGCCACCAAGAGCATTAACTAACATTACGTTTACTGAAGAATTAAAGCTACATGACCAAAATCCACGAGACATTTAAAACAAGTAAATAAAGTGAAACCCCCTTTAAGCCTAATAAGCTTACAACTAGGACCAGCACCGGGATTTAAATATAACCAATGTTGGGGTGGGGCACATTAAACACACATATATAAACCATATCAGCACATGTACATAAATAAAAATAGACAGTATTAAACTCACTAAATAACTGAGTTTGTATGCATAGAGTTATTGGGGGGATAGCTTCTGTTTGATCTTCTTGTGTATGCCCTGACTGACTAGACAAGTCTAAAGTCCTTAAACATTTTGTGCCTAATTAGTATCCACATTAAACATAAGCTTTTAATCTGTTCTTTTAAGAACCAAAATAATCAGTTTTTTACCTGCTGTTTACAGATAAAAACTTAAACGTTCTGAAACAAACATACCAGTGTAACAAGTACAAAACACAAAGTTATAGATTGATGTCTAGCTGAACAAACAACAGGTAAAAAACTTAAACGTTCTGAAACAAACATACCCGTGTAACAAGTACAAAACACAAAGTTATAGATTGATGTCTAGCTGAACAAACAACAGGTAAAAAACTTAAACATTCTGAAACAAACGTACCAGTGTAACAAGTACAAAACACAAAGTTATAAATTAATGTCTAGCTGAACTGTTTGTTCAGCTAGACATTAATTTATAAATTTGTTAAGGTTTAAAATGAACTATTTCATTAAGCTGTCTTTCCTGTTTTCTGGTTGTTCAACTAGTCATATATAATTGATTTAACAACTTACCTTCCCCGTTTGTAGCTGCTGAGTTAAGCTTGCTGGCATTAGAAATGGTGGTTGGCCATGAAGGCTAATGGCAAGTAACTAATAGAAATAAGGAAAAAATCATGAAACTGCTAAGCCTACATTATTTTGATACAAAAAGATAGCTAATATCACCATGTTAATTAACATAACCATTTTATCTTATAATATCACCATGTTAATTAACATAACCATTTTATCTTATAATATCATCATGTTAATTAACATAACCATTTTATCTTATAATATCACCATTTTAATTAACATAACCATTTTATCTTATAATATCACCATGTTAATTAACATAACCATTTTATCTTATAATATAACCATGTTAATTAACATAACCATTTTATCTTATAATATCACCATGTTAATTAACATAACCATTTTATCTTATAATATCACCATGTTAATTAACATAACCATTTTATCTTATGAATTTAATGTATATTGAGATTGTTTTTCCTGTATAATCTACAGGTATTATATCACTATAATTCAGAATGACAACATTAATTTGTTTACGGTGTCTCATCTTCAGTGGTATTAGATTATTATATACCATAACCACATCTTGTAGTATTATATATCATAACCACATGTTGTAGAATTAGATTAATATATATCATAATCACATCTTGTAGTATTAGATTATTATATATCATAACCACATCTTGTAGTATTAGATTATTATATACCATAACCACATCTTGTAGTATTAGATTATTATATACCATAACCACATCTTGTAGTA